ATGATTGTTAACAGATGAATGAATGAGTCGTGAATAAAATTATTTCACTACTTAAAATGAATGAAAGAAGTGGAACACTGGCAGGCTTAAGAACGAGTTTTTTTGTTTTGTGTTTTTTAATTTGTTTTTATTTTAGATTACTGTGAATGAGAGGGAATAAAACCTTCATGCTGAKTGTACGTGAAGAGATCCAGAATAGAATTGCTCAAACAGTAAGGGCACTCTGACACAAAACACTTGAACTGATGCACGTTTTGGTCATCTTTGTGTGATTTTTGAATGAACAGAAGTTGTGAAGCAGTTTGAAGTCAATCCACTGCTGTGCCTTTGTAACAAAGTAAAGTAGGAACAGAGTCGACATGTTAAAGGTAAACCCAGGTTATASCTGGAATGTGATTGTAACTGTGGGGTTTAAAAGCCTAAACAACTACAAACAGATTTATATTGAAAGAGAAGAATAATGACACACTGCATATGTTTAGCTGAAAAGAGGATTGCTAAATTATTTTGATGTTTTAAAAATAAAGATGTCCATCTTAAATATATAGTAAATGTATAGTTTTCCATATAAACACAGCTGAGTTCCACTCCATCCCTCTTTTATTTCCATAAAGCTCACTTTATTTCTAAAAGTTAGACGAGACATGGCCAGCTCAATTAGTGATTTAAAAACGGAGAGTTAAAAAAATATGCAAAACCAGTCTGACAAGTTGTTTCAGTTTCCTCACTCCTTCACCAGTTTACTTTGCTGCATTTTTCTTGCCAATAAATGAAATGATAGTTGAGCTTCTGAACAGTTTCTCCTTGTTTTTCCTGCTTTAAATGTTTTTGTTTATTACTTTGCAGCTGGTAAATCCTGTTGATCTCCGTTGCTGCTGTTTTATATTGATTTTTTGACAGTTACACTGTTCAGACTGCTCGGGTCTCACCGTGTTTTTGAATTTGTTAACTTTAAATTGTGAGTGGGGGAAAAAAAAAGTTTGGTTTTGCTGAACATTTAGATTAGTTGATCAATCATGGCGTTTCAGCATGGCTACAGCTCTCTGTGGGTATCGGGTACAGAGTGGGTACAAGTAGAYCAAGGGTATCAGGCCTAAGTTCAGTTTTGAGATTTTTACTGCTGAACACGGTTCTAGAATACATCTGTCAAGTGRTCTGAGGTAAGCCATGCATTACCTRAGCAGATGAGAAGGAAGAGATGAGCAGCAGTAAAGTGGTTGTCGGTTCATAATATCCTCAGGGCAAGACAGGAACCTGGAGAGTCMACTTTTTTCASGTCTGCTTCATGCTGACAAGGATGCAATTTTACAACCATTTAGACTGTTAAGGAGAGACACACCATGACTTCTGAGAATGAGACCCAACATCCAGCWAACCTTCAAACTGATTGGTGTTTACACATACACATTTCAATAAACCTTTCATCAAATGTCTGCACATAAAGCATGGACAGCATACATGAGTGAGCAGCACTCAGCTTGGTGAAACACAGATCTGTTCTGCCTTCAAACACCAGATATAAATGGAGAAGGAGCCTGATGTCCACTGCATCCAGGGTTAAAGCAGCTTTAAATCTGATTGATTCATTAGATTTTTTTATTGAAGTTGRCTTAAACTTACAGTTTAAGGTGATGTACACATCACACCAGTGCTGGAAATGTCATTGTAGTTGAACAAAAGTGAAGCATCTCTTTATTTACCACCTCTCACCCCWCAACCTACATCCTTAATTTTCCATCTATACTGTTTAAACTGATCCTCTGGTTAAGCGATTTAACTACTGTTTGAACATATTGAAGGCAGGCATTCATTGACTTTATTTAATTCAAAATCTATATTCATTGTGTTGTGTGAAGATTGCTTCAAGATTAGAGCAATAAAGTYTCTCCCAGTTTGGATCCTTTAACTCTGTCAGCGACTTTGTTGAATCAACTTTACCTGACTGGATTTTACTGATGACAATTGTTCTCATAAACAAAGCAGCTGGTTAAATAGAGTTTTACTCTTTCAGTGCTGGAAGGAAGTTTAACTTYGCTTAGCATCTTCATTACTGAGACTGTTGACATAGAAACACTAAGGTATGACAAYAATGTTAAGCATTTTAAAATTGTTTGGCTCCATCATATAAAACACAGTTTTGGAAAGTTTGAGAAGCTTTAACATCTGCTCTGCAGGAAGGCCAGCCAGGCAAACTCCCTGAATCCTTCAGAKATCAAACATGCCCTAAAGGCTGAATGTGTCGCTCCAAAATCTCACCYTATCCAATGCATTATTGGTGTTTTCTCACAACCAACCTAAGCTATGAGCACTGATGCATTTTCATCAGCATCATAAATGTAAGATTTATAGCATCATTAGCTGATAACCACATTGATTTTTTCCCCCAGCTTTTTAAAAAATTGTTTTTTAAATAGGTTTTGTTGGGTTTTTGGACTACAGAACACATCCAGCAACTTTTAGTAAATCTGAAATGAACTCTTCTTGCACACAGAACTTGGCAGCATTTTTGTGTAGAGCTGAGTTATGGCTTTTTTTGCATAATACAATTTGAGGGAATAGTTTTGGAAACAGCAGTAGCAGCATGTGCTGAATGACAGTAGTTTTAGCGTACTTTAACTCCCATGTAGACATATTAATTACAGTAGAATGACAAATGTTTCTGCAGTTCTTGCCTGAAGGGTTGGAGGTACCTTACATCCATCAGTGTTCCTGGTCTGTACGGTCAGATTTTTACAGACTGCTAGAATCTTTTTACACTATTATTCATGGTATATGGTGAAACATCTTCCTGCATATTTTACTTAAGTTTTGACACGAAGCTAATGAAGTTTGGCACAAAGTTTTGAACAACCACCCATCCTTGCATGAAAATGCTAATCATTTTTAATGCTTAACCCCCATTTGASACTCTGGCCTGTCGCTTATCAGTTTGCAGATCATGTCGTTTTCCAGTACTTAAAAGTGAAGCTCATTTTACCCAGTCGCTTGTCTCTGACAGAAARGAAGACAACAGAATACTAATTCGGCTGTGGATTTAAAAACTGGGCTTGTGGCCAGAGTTTTAGYTGCTAATGAGAAAAGCTGCCTTTCAGTGTCTGCTAAGGTGTGAACACGTGTAAATCAGAATGTTGAACAGGTCGTCGATTAAAAAAAAATATGGCATTTGTGGAGCAGATTTTCTAACAAAGTCTTAAGCTGTGAAGTACAACAAAGTGTCGACTGATTAATATTTGCAACAGTTTTTGCTCMTTTTAATTGTATTTAATATAAGGAATTTAGATTTTTGGATCACTGAAAAGTAATACACAGGTATAGTATGTTTCCTGCTGCCAGATATCCATGATGACATAACATGTCATCATTATACCCCTTTTCCACTAGTGCCACTTAGTGTAGTGTCGGTACGGTTCCAAGCCATTTCCATTAGGCCAGATCCATGGAACCGGCACTTTTTTTAGTACCTACTTCATTGTGGTTCCAACCGGCCCCAGCTGACACCAAAATGCGACYTCAGAACACTGTTCGTCACTGATTGGCTAAATTTTTGCAAATGTTTAAAATTTCAAAAGTTATTCATCAAATGTGTTTCCATCTCTCATTTTGCCCATTAATGTTTTTTTCAAAATACCTAAAAACCACCTCCACCAACCGCCCAAAACACACCCATTAGAACCAGACTGGAACATCAGTGGAAAACCAGCCGGTCCGACCCGTACCTACACCGACCGTTCCGACACTATACTAAGTGGTACTAGTGGAAAAGGGGCATAAGTCAGCATAGACTGCACTGTGGTTGGCCATTTCAGTGGTTTTTGGTGCTCTGGATCATCCTCATCTGTGCTGCCTATAAGTATCCCAGTTTGGTCTGAAATATTCAGTTCAACAGGTTTTTAGAGACTGGCAGTCTTGGGTTTCTTTTACATTCTCTCACGCCCACTCCAGTTCTCTTTCTGGACACGCACCCAGCTCTTTTATCCAGGTACTAATAGGAATAACTTCCCGTTCCCTCAGATCACCGCTGTCACAAACAAACACAAATCTGGCCATGCATACAAACCACAAGACATCTGCTTATAACAGTGGATTGGATTTTATTCTCAAGACCTCATTAATTCCTTATGGGTGCTCATATTGATTCAGGGTGCCTCTGGACTTGTTAATTCAGCTCAGCCCAGATGGGTTTGAATGCAGTTTGTCGCCCGAAGGTGACTGCTGCTCGTAAGAAATGGGTGAAATGGGCCAAGAATATACTGAGTGGGAGGGAACGAAACACAAAAGATTAAGCATATAGGAGAGAAACAATTCAAATCTAAAGCAATAACAACAAAGAATATATCTGTGACTTTGGGTTTAAACTTTCTAAATAAAACCAAAGAATTAATTATATTGCTAAAAGGCACATGTATCACTTTCAAGGCTGCTTGTGTTTCTGTGTTGAATAGTTTGTGTCAGAGTGAGGTGGGTGGTTGCAAGTATATTTTCACCATAAAGGCTAAATGCAAAAATGCAAATATTCATTAATGCTGAATAAACCTAAAGATCCTGTTGTAATAATTAGCCTGCAGTAATAAAATAAGCTTATACTAACATAAAATAAACAGATGCTTGTTGCAAAAAACACCTGAGTGAGTGTTTGTGTCCCCTCCAGACATTTTTTGACCATTCCCTCAGACAGAAGCACCATTATCAGTAGTTCAGATTTTAAAACTGAACATGTTGTTCTTTTTCTTGTAACTTTGCTGCCAGGGTGAGAATGGAGTGAGAGGAGTTATTTGTCATCATCAGGCTGAGCGCCCTGCCGCCTGTCTGCTGTCAAACTGTCTTGAACAACATTTTCATCTCTTTTGCTGCCTTTTTCTTTAGTTACTTTTTTCACCTAAACTCACCTTTTTGTTTTTAAGTCTTTATCACAAGTCTTTTTGCACTTCTTTCCTTTTGATGTCCATGTTGCACAAAGTCCCTCGCAGTGACCGTAYCTCCAACTTTGTTCTGTTTTACAGGTTTAGAAAAAGTTGGTCGTGACTCCAGCTARGAACAGGAAGGGAAGGTTCAGTTTGTCATGGATGCCGTGTACGCGATGGCGCACGCTCTGCACCGCATGCACAGGGAGCTGTGCTACGGGTACCCAGGCCTCTGCCCTCGGATGGCCAACAACATCGATGGCAAAGAGCTGCTTAGCCACATCCGTGCTGTCAAATTCAATGGTAAGTTTTTTTTATTTGCTCTCTGACTCTAACACAAATGCTGCACATGATTTACCCAAATGTAACATTAAAAATGCAGAAATGTGAAAAGAATGTGGGCTTCAAATGTGACTAAGTTTTAACAAACATTTAGAATCACACTACAGATCCATATTTGTTTTTCCGTGTTTTATATTCAACAATTTTTATAACTTTTTTCTGTATATTTAGGCTGACATCAGCACTTGTAAACAAAGACAGCAGCAACGTTATCTATTTCTGCAGCACCTTTGATTAAAAGCAGTATATAAAAGAGTATATCCCTATAATTCCTTTAACTTTTTATTTATCAAATGTATTTATGAGCAAACACAGAAAAATCCATACAAAGAACTGGACTAATAATGTGATGACTGACTAAATGCTCATATCTTAGTCTTAGTTAATTAATGACTCATGTACAAGTCTACCTCAAACTTGGAGACACAAGTACTTTCTCTGAACTTTTGACCTCTCTTAAAATCCTTATAAGTTCACATTATTAATATAAATTATTTAGATTTTTTAAAATCTATTTAGTTTTTTAAACTGGGAAAAGAATGAACTGAGAACCATATATGGTACTTTGTGATATGTTGCCATTTCTGTGAATCTGTGCAAAACGTTTTTTCAAGGTTTGACCAAATTAGCAGCACCATCATTTCTAAACACAAGATGATCTAAGTCTGAAAATCTGTCATGAAAACCAGGTGACATGCATTATGCTAGGCCTTTATTATCCATACCTAGGCAGCAGTAGCAGCCTAGGTATGTGTGAASTGGATGTGATATTTTTACACAGCCACAGTAGGTCACCTGTTTAAACCGGCCCTCTTCATGTTTACTTCCTATCAGTAAGAATGATCACATCTAATTAAACACTCCAMGGAGGTGGAGGAGCGTAGACTGCTTTAGCACATATATAAGAGTAATAGCTAGTGATAATGTCCGTTTAATGTGCTGCTAACATTTGGAGTGAATAACAATTCCAACTGTGAGCGATGACTTTCTGCTAATGTTTCAGACATAGTTCACCCAGCAGCCTAATTATGACTTTGTGATTTACAGTAGCTTTCCATATTCAGTCCTAACATGTAGAATAAATGTTTACCCAGCTCTGGTTTTAGACACATAAATTCAAACAGTAGCAGAGATATTGATTTGTTATCCACGTAGTAGGGAACATTCACCTGTGATGGAGGGATGAGAAACTGAAGTGACTTAAAATTACATTTAGTGAAGCTTTTACACTGAGCTCAAATAAAGGAGGGCATGTAAAATAATTATTTAACTTTGGGAGACTGTGGCACAAAGGTAAATAATTAGGTTATAGATTTCCATAGTTTAAACATTTAGAAAGGTTTAATTTCCCTGTAAGGGATGGTGTCTGGTGGTCTGGGGGTTTGCCAGGCTTGTGCACATAAAGTGAAAACAATTAATTTTAAATAAGCTTTCTTGTGGTTTTCATTTAATCTATTCTGCTCTTACTTTTAAATGCTTCATGCTGCTTTTCCTTTAATTTGTTTAATCAATTAAAAACAATTATCTTTGAGTTTTATTCCCCTAAAATGATTAAAAAAATTATGTCCCCTGAGCRAAAATACAATGTGGTAGTAGCAGGTTCATCAGGTCTGAGATGCGTTTTTTAATTTGTCTATATGTTAGCAAAATATCTCATTAACTCTTGGTTATATTTTTAGGAAACTCTGATTTATTAAGAGAACCAAATACAAGATGGCTGCCACAGCCAGCTAACCTTTGATAAGACAAAAGATTCATTAAATATATTTCACAGCTAAAATTTGGTCTTTTAGTAGCAGATAAAATGACACGATCTGTTCAAGCCTGTGCTAAAAGAAATACTTCTGAGAAGGCATTTTCAAGTACCTAGTAATTAAGAGACTGTAAAATAAAATATTACCATTTATTCTTTAGCATGTAGCATTTTGCTAGATCACTTAATGACCAATAAATTAGTTTTCAGTCTTTTATCACCTGCAATGTTTCCTAGAAAAGTGAACGTTTGCAAAGATGTGGATTTTTATTCCTGAGAAAAAAATAAAATGTATCTCTCTACAATTCTTTGTTAGCATAAATACAGTATGTTACATTCCAATCAATCAGTCCAACTATCAATTTTCTACTGAATTATAGATATTTTCAAAGTAAAGTATGACATTTATTATTCAAAGAGGGAATTATAACATTGGGCCTCATGCAAGAACATGTTCGTATTCTTATCCTAAATTTCTCTTACTTTTGTTCGTACAAAGGGTTCGTACGAACATGTCACGTCAGATTCAACAAACTCTTCTATCTTCAGGYAAKGTGCGTAAATGAGCTGCGTAAWTTKCACCCGTTCTATCCAGCTGCTCGTGCACGCGAGAGGAGATTAGCATAATTACCACCCCAAAAACACCATATAAGGCTATGATTCCTGCCTCAGATATCAGGAAGTGTCCATTCATGAAAATGACAGCGAAAACTTAAAATAAAAACTTTACGAGTTCAGAGATTGAAGTCCGTCTGTCAGAGATCCAGAAAAGAAAATCTGTCATTTTTAGCAGGTCAGCTGTGGAATAAAAAAGAGCTGCTAAAAGTATAAACAACTGTGTTAAATCATTTTCATTTATTCAGAAGCCGCAGCGCAGCGCTGCGCACCGTAACCCCCCCCACCACCCCACCCCCCGCGCTGCGGTGGTCTCAGATGCGGGTTTGAAATAAGCATTTTAAAATGTTTTCAAAATAAGTCTGGCACTTTGGAGAAAATCCAGGATTTGATCATATATCCCCTCTAGCATGGGAACGTCTCGGTGTCCCCCAGGACGAGCTGGAAAGTGTCTCTGGGGAGAGCGGGGTCTTTCTCCTGCTGCACCCCCCACCCCACGCCGCACCCTATAGCGGATAAGCCGGCCGGACGGACAATTTATATTATATATTAAAATTATAACTCTAATTCAAGCAGAATAGCCTATTGTCAACATAATTATGGAGTGTGATTTATTTTCAACTCAAAATATCTTCAAACTAACGAAATATAAAGTTATTAATGAAGAAAACCCGTCTGGATAACAGCAGACTGACTGCTTGTAAAATATACGACAGGTCTGGACCACTCGTAAATTTTGTTCGTATCTGAAAAAAATCMTAGAATARGAAAACATTGGTGAATGCCACAAATTCTCCTAAATCACTCGTACGCACAACTTAAGAACAAATCWGTGRGTACGAACGGTTCTTGCATGAGGCCCATTGTCTAGAAAAACAGGTCAGTTTATATAAGTAAGTAAAATTTTAATATGTACACTTTGTAAATCTACATTTTATTAATATCAGAATGTGTATTATATCTGTTAAATTAAAACCATTTACAGGATATAAATAGGCGCACCTTTATATTTAAGGATGGAAATAATTATTTCCAGTAATTTCTCCTAAATTGACTACATTTAAAGGTGATCCAGAAACATTTCTTTYATGAGCAAATGAGGTGACTTTAGGACCTGAGACCAATTCACCACATTGTGCAACACTTAGTTTACCTTTGATAGATTAGACTAAGATAGTTATAACCTTATCCCTTTAAAGCTGTGGCATAAAAAGCAGCAGGCAATGAATGTACATTTCTTCAAGGATTGTTAGACCTTTAGTTCTAGACTGTATTTTCTAACAAATGTTGCTCATTTCCAAGTAGCATCGACCCTTTATTTGAAAACTCTCTTATTAATCTCTTTTCTCCTCAATGCTCCAGTTCCTCCTTTTCATTTCCTGTGTTCCTCTGTGCAGTACTGCARGGAATACATAAAACCTGATGAATTACAGAGCAGGAGAGCCCACAGAAAGGTTGTTGTATTGTGTAGATTATAGGAAGGCCTGTCTGATTTAAATGTAAGATTAAAACTGCATGAATATGATTGTGTGGGAATGCGTGCGAGATGTGGGCTGGTGTTTGTTGTCCCCCGGACCATCCGTTTGTCATCGCTTGAAGTGTCAGAAAGCAATTCACAAGCGGACGCTGATTGCTCTTTCCTACTCCAGCAGCAGGTTTATGCTCAGGTGTGTTTCTCAGTTATTGCTGGCCTAGAGGCGAGAGAAATCATCCCATAAACACTAGGTCACAAACTTAATCCCTAGATGAGTCGCTGAAACCTTTTCAATCATTGGAAGCTCACACGTTGAGCTGCAAGTGATCCTGGAGAGTAAAAAAATGGATTACAGTATTAAAATATGAGAATGCAAGTTTAATGTCATGCTGTCTGGTTGTTTCAKAGGCTGATGACTCCTTCTGAAATAATACATGCATCTTTAGTCTTTCACATGATGTTGCCAGAGATGCAGTATGATACATTATGAAATACATATTTGAAAGAAAATTGACCTAATACAAGTTTTCCCTTGGGGATTATTTGCAAGTAAGGACATTTCAGGTAGATATGTACAAATAAAATGCAGTTTGAATTATCATGTTGGTGTAATCCAAGTAAAACTTCAAAATAAAAGCTTGATTGAGATGCATAACTTGTATGTATCTTATAAAGCACAAAAGTAGTGGAAACTYTGTGAACTAGTTATATTAGACAGAAGTTTTTATTAATGCTCATTCAGCTTACATGGAATATAAGGTTTGTTTACCTGACCTGGCAACATCTCCTTTATTTGTTCGTTGTTTTAAGTGAATCATTTTGAAAGTTGTTTCTATCTAATATCAGATAAAATTATTGCCTTTCTTAAAACAGCTTCTGTTTGTGTTAAAAATAGTCTCAATGTAAAAGTACAAAAATAATGTTTAACTCACCAACACTGACAGATTTTCATCACACCTAAAATGCACAAACAGAAGTTTTGGTTGTAGCTTGGCCTCAGAGGCTGATTCCACCTGAACAGTGACTTGGGATTCCACCTGAACAGTGACTTGGTGAAGCCTGGTGAGGGATGAAAGCCTGTGTGTCAGCAGCAGGTACAAGCCAGATAAAAACAAGATC